AGGAGTCACAGGTGAGCACTCCCTTCGCGGGTTGATGGTCTAAGCACCCCTCTTGGAGCCCCGGTTTCATTACATCACTGAGTGGACGTCACCGCTGAGGGAGGTGGGTACTCCCTCAGTGGGCCTATGGATCTCTGGTCTAGGAAGCGCCATAAATACAGCATTCCTTTTTCATCCTGGATTTCTACCTCTTGAAGCTATTTGTCTCCCCTCTTTCGCAGAAGTTAATCTGCTTAGTTGACTCAGGACCTAGGTCTCCTCCTTGCCTCTGAAGGATTTAGGCCCTGGGACTCTGGCCACCTTTTCTCCCACTGGCCCTTGATCCTTTGCTTGACTAGTCCAAAGGAGCCACGTCAGGCTCAAGGACAAAAACATCCTAACCAAAATGGGGATAACTACAAGTATCCCAAAGGGCTCCCCATCAGGATACATATTAATTAATTGGGAAAAGTTTAAGCAGGATAGCTGGGGGAAAAAGAAAATAATTTTCCTTTGCAATGCTGCATGGCCACTATACAAACTAGGGGACCAAGAGGTCTGGGCAAAATATGGGTCATTAAATTACAATACCATCTTGCAGTTAAACCTGTTGTATAAAAGAGGAGGTAAATGGGGAAATCCCATATGTCCAAGTGTTCCTGACCCTATCCCAAGATCCAGGTCTAAGGAACTCCTGCCGGGTGTACCTGGCTCATATCCTCTCCAAGTGTCTCCCCCGACAGGAGCTCAATGTTCTAGATGACCCCCTTATGGGTCTAGCTCCCCAGGGTCCACATTTGGGAACACCCACGCCGCCCAGCTCTGAGGGGGACAGTCTTCCCCACCACCTCCCTCACCGGAGGAAAGTCCTGCTGGTACTATTCAAAGTGAGGCCACCTACCAACCTCCTGCTACCAAACTGCCCCTTAGGGAAGTGCCAGCTGGTGATGGAGGAACTATTAGAGTTCACGTCCCCTTTTCCATGACTGATTTGGCTACTTGCAAGGAGAAATTTGTATGTTTCTCCAAGGATGCCAGTAGCTTCATGGAGGAATTTACCAGGCTGACAATGGCTATGAGCTCACCTGGAGGGACCTACAGGTCCTCCTTTCAACCTGCTGCACTTTTGAGGAAAAAAGCCAGCTCCTTAGTGCAGCCCAGGTGTATGCCAAAGAATTGACTACCTACAATTAGGGACATATAATCTACCTTACCCTGGGGGAAGCAATCCCTGACCAAGAGCCCCCACTGGAACTACCAACAGGGAGGTAGAGAGCTTGAACACAGAAACCACATGGTAACGTACCTCATAGAGGGGATGAAAAAGTGTGTTGTTAAGCCCATCAGCTATGACAAAGTCAGAGAAGTAACACAGGAAAAAGATGAGAATCCAGCCCTCTTCCAGGGCTGCTTAGTGGAGGCCTTTAGAAAGCATACTAATATTAACCCCAAAACCCCTAAGGGGGAAGTCCTGGTAAATACCCATTTTGTCACTCAGTCGGCCCCAGACATTAGGAGAAAATTACAAAAGGCAGCTGTGGGACCCAGACCCCCATGAATCATCTCATGGATCTGGCGTTTGGAGTATTTAACAATAGAGACGGGGTTCAATAGGCAATAAGGATTCAGGGACAGCATCAAAAGGCACAATTCTTAGTGGCAGCCCTAACCCCTGTGCCACCTCAGGGTTACCCTCCTTTATGAAGATCCATGGTGAGGACAGGATCCAGGATGCCTGGATCAGAGCCACTGTCTCACCTAAAAGGGACCTGTTTTAAGTTCAGCCAGGAGGGCCACTGGAAAAATGAATGCCCCATGTTTGGAAAAAGTCCACCAGGACCCTGCTCAATATGCGAACAAAAAGGCCACTGGAAGCGGGACTGCCCCCAGTCCCGAAGGGGGCTTGAGGCTCCCAAACCAGTGATGGCCTAGATGAATGAAGACCGATGGGGCCAGAGACCCTTCCTGGGTCCCAAAGGACACCTGGTTATTTCTCCAAAGGAGCCTCGGGTAACCCTTGATGTGGCAGGCAAAAAAAAGTTATTTCTTAGTAAATACAGGGGCCACTTACTCTGTGCTGACTGATTTCCCTGGACCCTTGTCCTCTCAATCCT